TATCAAAGATTTAATGATGTTCATTGAATAGAAACAACATAAAAGAAAGTGATAACATGAAAACCTGACAAATGGATTATTTAGAAAATATGTGACTGACGTCAACTATTCATTAATCATTGAAATTAATATTTTATTTTGATTTTAATCACGTCTAAATATTAATACAATGTTTGACCAAAATTATTCTTTTTTTATCACGTCTTTTATCTAAAAAAGTAGATATTTTCGAATGAAATTCATTATGACGTTTTCTTTTTCAAAATAAAATCCTATCAGATTCCAAATTCAAAAGAAAATCATATGAAAAATTGACAATTAAATCTAAATAATAATAATCAAAATTATCAATAAAACGTTTTCTCTTGAAATATGTCGTTGTTGTTTTTTTCCTTTCTATGTGATATTTGTTGATCATGAGAAGAGAAAAAAGAGGTATATAAAGAATTAATTTCACTTGTTTTTTCTCGAACAAGAATATCACTTTTCTTTATTGCGTTGATAATAATAAAACAAAAATGTTGTTTTACATGATGATGAACAAGAATTTCAATATCCTCGTCATGATTCTGTTAGTTATGATCAATCAGATACCAGGTAACCATTATTATTTATCAATCATTTCTTTTTTTTTGTATTTAACTTAAAATGAGGGTGTGGGCGTTCTTTTAATGATATTATCTACGCCCAAAACCACACCCACACCCACTCTTAAAACATTAAAAATATTTTTGAATCGTGTTTTTAAGAAAGATATCTCTTTGAAATGACAAATAATTTCGAAAAGATTTTTATCTGAAACTTTTCATTTTAGCATCTTCATTTAATCAACCAAAGTTCTGTGCGACACCAGCTTGGAATCCCTTTGGAATTACTTTTGCTAATCGGACAACTGTTGGAGGGTATCCTTTCGGTCTTTTTATCAATATGAACAACACAATTTATACAGTTAATCGAGAGATGAAACAAATCTTAATGTGGATTAATAATAGTATCAATCCAAACCAAATTACTCCTGACAATTTCACTGATTCATATTCCATCTTCGTTACAAATAATGGTGATATTTATTATGGTGATATTTATTATGATAATGGTTATTTGAATGGTCGAGTTGATAAATGGATATCAAATACGAATACGTCTGTTAATGTCATGAATGTTAATTCATCATGTGATGGTCTCTTTATTGATATTAATAATAATTTATATTGTTCAATGAGTGGTGATAATATAATTCTGAAAATATGGTCAAATGATAGTGAAATGATATCAACAACTGCAGCTGGAACAGGGATTCCTGGTTCTGCTTCGGATGAACTTGATGGTCCTTCAGGAATCTTTGTTGATTTAAACTTTGATTTATATGTGGCAGATCGTCGCAATGATCGAATTCAACTATTTAAATATGGAGAATTAAATGGAACAACAATATTTGGAGAAGAATCATCAAATAACAGTATTTCACTCAATTATCCATCTGGAATTGTATTAGACGCTGATAAAAATCTTTTTATTGTCGATCAATTCAATCATCGTATAATTCGATCAGGATTCAATGATATTCGATGTATAATTGGATGTGATGGATACGGATCACAATCCTATCAATTATCAAATCCAAGAACTCTTAGTTTCGATAGTTATGGAAACATATTTATTACTGATACTGGAAATAGTCGCATTCAAAAATTCGATTTCTTATCGAATTCTTGTGGTA